GTTTGCTTTGGATGGGGGCTTTCTTAAAGGAGAATTTAAGGGGATGCTTTTGAGTGTTGTTGGTAAAGATGGGGACAACATGATGTTCCTTGTTGCTTGAGCTGGAGTGCAAAGGGAAAGTAGTGATACATGGAAGTGGTTTGTCTCGATTCTGCAGCAGGATCTTAGGACTACTCATGGTCATGGCTAGACTATCATCTCCGACCAGCATAAGGTATATTTAAATAAGTTTAGTTGGATGCATGTGACTTCTTATTGTATCTGAATTTTCATATTTGACTAATATTTGGTTTTCTTTGCAGGGACTTGTGTAAGCACTAAACATCTGCTTGCCTGAGGCTTTGTTTAGAAAATGTGCACGACATGTATTTGCAAACTAGAAGGTCAACCATATGTTTCAAGGAACACAGAGACTTGTACTGGGCAGCAGTGTATGCAACAAATGTACATGAGTACAAGGCAGTCATCAAGGTCATGGGTGATTTTCAACAAAGTGAGGCAGATCCTTCTCTAATCAAGACTTTCTGGATCATCAACTAGAGACCTTTTGCAGGGTTTTATGAGTCACACTGCCAGGTGTGATTCGGTGGAAAGTAACATCTGCAAGACCTTCAATGGTTACATCTTGGAGGAGAGTGAGGATAGGATTATTGACATGTTTGAGGGCATCCGTTGAAAGATAATGGTGAGAATTCCCTGTCAACATGCCATTGCCTGCCTACAATGGAAGAGGATAAAGCCATCTGATTTTGTGTCTCCCTATTACACCGTCGAGTCATACAAGATGGCATACGAATATGGTATCCATACCATTGAAGGCCAACAAGCTTGGCCAGAATCAGTTGGCTTTCCTGTTTATCCTCCAAAGTTCAAGATGTCTTAGATGTACGATTGGAGCATATGGTAGATGCAAATCGGAGGTTCTTTCTTTCAAAGATGGTCCATCATAGCTCGTAGTCGTCTCCATTGGTTGCATTTTTTTGTGCTTGTTGTGGTTTCCCTCGACTTGAGGTTATGGTACTTCTCTTAAAAATTATGGTTCTTCTCATCATGGGCGGTTCTGTGTCCTTTGTTGTTGAGGGCTAAGAGAACTAGCACTCCCACCCTCGGTTCGATCACTATTAGAAGAGAAAAATCACAAAACATGTTCAAATAAACCATTAGGAAACTCACTTGATCAATTGAACCACAACATCAATCCTTAGGTTCACTCTATACACCCCCACACTTAAGTGTCACAATGTAGAAATTAGAGGTGCATAGGTAGAAATGCATGTTGTAATGACTAGGGTCGAGGTCTAGATGCATCAACAAGGGTGACATGTCTTTCTAGAGGTTTCTAAACCGCGACTGAAGGCTAGAATCAACTCATTGGACAACAACCAAAGCTTGAACTCTTGGCTCTAAAAGCATAACAAAACACAAAATCAAAAGTGAGCCAAAATCTCAAACTCAAGGAACATGCATCAAAGATTCAATCCTAAGTCACTAACACACTCATAAGGGTATATCTTAGTGAAACAATTTCAATTGCAATGGATCAAGAAAAATAAATTTTATGTGGTTTGGGCATTTCATTGAGCACTTGGTGGGCGACATTAAAACTCCACAAATTCATAAAGCCCCCAAGGCCTCCAAACACACATACAGAATCATAAGCATACATTTCTATGATCCTATTGAACTAGCCATGCCATTCTATTACCCCAAGTAGTTTAAGTCGTCGACTAGCACACTTGCTTAACAACAACATTTGCAACCATTCCTTTAGCAACTAGTTAGTCTCCAACAATCATTCATATACTACTTGACATTAAAGGGATTCATTCATTAACCAAAAATATAGAAAATATCTAAAACAAGTTAAAGCATGCAAGTTTTATTTTGAAAAAGGTAAGAAAATGAAAACCGGTTGTTAGGGTACCTCCCAACTAGTACGTCTTTTAAATCTTATCACCAGACGATTATCTTCAAGTATTCGGTCCAACTTAGAACCTTCTTGAAGTTGAGGTTCTTGTCGGTGAGGTGGTGTCTAAAGTCCCGAGCATTGGATGCTTCAAATGATGTGAATGACCCGTGGACTTGCTAAGAATTGTGTCTCCACCATGAGACCTCTTCTTCTTTTCTTCATCTCTCTTCTCTTTGACCCACACAATGTAGTGAAAAATCAATTGACTTCCATCGCATTCACCAAGCGGGATCGTCGATGGTTTGGCCTTGGCTTGGCAAAGAGCCGCAAATGGGTCATTTTCGATTAACGCATCAATCGGGTGGAAAGATTTGGTATCACGTGTAACTTGTGGAAGGTTCATCCGTCCCAACCTTGTCCTTATATTTGACTTCATTTTCATCCTCAACCTCCCTTCATTCTTCTCCAATTTGTTCCTCCACTTGGGGACGATCAAGGTCTTCCTCTTCTTTGACGCTTGCTTCCTCATCCACAACTTTCCTTCTCTCCTCTTCGACCTCCTTTTCTTCTTCAAATGGTAGGATATGATTATGAGCAAGTCGTGCACATGCTTGCTTGACAATCTCTCCTAGTCTCTCTATTTTTCGGAGGATCTCCTCCAATGTTCGTAGTAAGGATGAGTCAATAGGGATGGTGGTTGAGGATTCCACATTGGAGCATGCTTCGGTATCTCGGGTGAACCACTCCATCATGAGATCCAATTGGCTCATCGAAGATTGTAGAGTGTAGCAAGATTGTTCCACACTTGAGGATGCTCCATCGGAATCCCGGGAAAACTGCTCCACCCAAGAATTCCAATTCGCTTATTGGCTCTGGTTGTGGATGGAAGTCTTCTTGGACTGGGGAAGCTTTTACGTATCCCCATTGGTATGGTTCTTCATCTTGGAATTGGGGTCGGTAAAAGAATCCGAACCCTTGACTTCCAACATCTTGATGTCTCCCTAAAGCTTCGGGGTAACCATCTTCGGGTATTGATGAATACCCCCACACTTTGGTGAAGTCATAAGGATCCATGATTCAAAAGCTTCTACAAAATAAAAACACTAAAAAGAAAATTAAACACATACAAACCACCCTTTGGGGAGAAGAGTGGGTGAAAAACAAAACACAAAAAGAAAACGTACTATGCAATACTATTACTAATATAAACAACTAAACAAGAAATAAAGACTAAACTAACAACCTAACTCTTTCAACTAGTTACTGTAACTCCCTGGCAACGACGCCAAAAACTTGATCACTGCTTCAATCGAGCTTTAAATTTATATAGTCGAAGCGCACTTACTAGTCAATCCTAACAAGTCAAAGTATAATCTAGATAGGGATGTAGTAAAGCGGCTCGGTCGTATTCCAAGGGTCGTGGTATCCTAGGCTATTTAGGCTCGGTCGTTATCTAGTCAACCTGTTGTTTAGCAGGTGGGCAGTTGACGATTACTAATCTAAAGATCGATAGATAAGAAGAGGTACTTGGGAAACTATCGCTCACCCTAGCCTAGGAGTACTATGTAATGTCTAAATAATTAGGGTTTGTCGAATGTGGTGAGTGAGCTCTTTTTTGTGGGCTTTCATGGTTATCCACACGCCTCCGAGTACACCTCCCCTAAACCCATATAAGTAACCTCAATGTAGGCTATCGTATCTAGGCCATTAAGCTCGTATCTCCTTTCAATGGATACTATCCACCGTCCACAATGAGGTTTTATCCCGGTTTCTATCTAGGAAGGCTTTCCTAAGGCATGGGTTTGATCATCTCGACCACCAATGGATCCTATTCATACATCTAACATTAATTTTCTTGATGGCGCATACCCGTCTAACCCTAAAACTCCATACCCAACGTAGAAGCTCAAGTAGGATAGTAGAGAAGATTATGGTGACTTACCCAAACACAATCAAAGATAGAATAGCATTCAATTCAACTAGATAGACACATTTATTCATTATAACCCCTAAAATATCCATACATTACATAGTAAATCTAAAACTAGGTTTTGGGGGTTTAGAACCCCTAGTACCTTGGGAGATCACCACATGAGGGGAGAAGAAAAACACAGACAAAGATGGGATGGGAAGAAATCATGAAGAAGGGCGCAGGTGGGCCTTTTTTCCAGCTTCTCTCTCTCTAATCTATCTCTAAAATAAGAAATCTTCCAAAAGCCATCTTCTAAAGGGGGAGGAGTCCCCTATTTATATAATTCTGAGATTTCGGGCAAGTTCACGGCCAAGGGGTAAAATTTCGCAGTCGTGAACTTGTGAGGCGAGGCCGCCATCTCTGGTCAACACATTTACATGTTGAAAGATCGAAGTTCGCGGCCTGGCATCTCGGTCGCGATCCTTGATGTCGCGACCGCAAACTTTCTCGTTGTCTCGCAAGACGGTGGCCGTGACTCAACTAGGGAAACTCCTTATTTCTCCTTCGTTGGCTGCCTCTCCAAGTTCACGCCCATCACTCCAGAGATCACAGTCGCGATCTTAGCTCTTTCTTCGCGTCCTCCTTTCCTGGTCGCGATCTTCCTTCCCTATACCGTGATCATAAGCTTTTCGGCCATAACTCTACACTTGTACCCATTTTTGTACCTAATTCGCATGTATTGTCTAAGGCACCCTATAATCACCTCATAATCAAATTGGAACGAAATAGGGATGCAATAAATGCTATTCTAACGATTATGCACGAGAATTAGCACGAAACAATTCTAAATATGAAGGATAAATAACACCAATTTTGGTGTTATCAGGTATTATGAAAATATGATTAATATAATTAATATGAATAATTAATGATTCTCTTTCTCTTTCCTTCTCCATAACCATCTCTCTCCATTACAATTAAAAAGAAATTAAAAAAATTCATTTAATTAGATATTATTATTTAATATTTAGTAAAATTCAAACTTGATATTTTTCTTTTTTTTAAATGTAAATTGAAAATAAATTATCGGCTCTCTCTCACTTTATGGCGACGAATAGCAATGCTCACTAGGGATCGTGGGTTTGAATCCTACTAAGATTATTAATGAACTTTTTATTTTAAAGAAACTTTGAATTTATAAAAAACCTTATTTTAGAAAGTACTATACCATAAACGAAATTCCTCGCCAACAAATAGCCAAAATCACTATGGAAAAAAAAAGCCAAAATCTCAATTATCCAATAGCCACTTAGCCAGGCAGATTGTGAGAGACTAGGTTGAACGACGCGAAAGTGAGCGCGGAAAAACAAAAGGACACCAGGGAAGCTTCGGCAGTTGCAGGGTCTCAGTACTCACAAGAAGCCCACTACCCAATCCTCTGCTTCACTCCTCTGTAAACGCGCAATTCTCCTTGTCATCCTCCTTCAATTCCTCGCCTCTCAAAACACCGCTTTCTTCCCAGTTTTCCTTTTTCCCCCTTTGCCCTCTTAGATCTTCAACTAGATTTCGACCACCCTGTAATTCCACTCTGTTTCTCTCGGTTTTAGAAAAAAATAAAAAAAAAAAATTAGAAATAACAATTGCAGTGTGCTGCTTGCCTAAAGTGCAGATATTTAGGACCACTACCAGTGCCCGGTGAAAACGCTTGCCTTGTTGCTGGGGATACCGGATTGGATTCGGATATTCCACATTGCAGGAAGACCCCATTGATCAAAGGGGAGTTGGAGCTTTGGCTTTCGAGATTTGAATTCCCTTGTTACCCTAGAGATTCAGGAACTCCTGTTGTTTAGGAGAATTGGGGATCTGGGTTCTGGTGATTCGCAGAGGATAAACAATGGGTGGTTCCGAGGAAAGAGTCGTAGCTGTGATCATGGTGGGTGGACCCACTAAAGGTATGCTTCTCTCTGCCGGTGAATCTTCTGTCGAAGAATGTTGATAAAGGAGTCTCCTTTTTTGTTTTATGTATTGAATTGCTTGAATCTGGGGATGTCATTTCTCCCTTTTTGCATGTTCCTTTGTCTGTTTGATTGCTGGTATGTGAAAATGGTTGCTTACGGGAATTCTCATTGAGTCGATCTGATTTGTCAACAGGAACACGATTCAGGCCATTGTCATTGAATATCCCTAAACCTTTATTCCCCTTAGCAGGACAACCAATGGTTCACCATCCAATTTCTGCTTGCAAAAGGGTAAGTTTACTTGCATCTGAAGCAATGTGATTAAAATTTGAATATGTCTTAGGCATTTCGGGTTGATCTTCTTGTCTTCTGGTTCAGATTCCAAACTTGGCTCAGATCTATCTCGTTGGTTTCTACGAAGAGCGTGAATTCGCACTGTATGTGTCTGCCATATCTAATGAACTCAGAGTGCCTGTCAGGTAAACCAACTCAAATTTGTTATTGTTTTCCAATTCTTTGCCTCGAGATTTACTATTTTGTTGTTAAATTATGGAATCTTGGATTTGGTGTAGGTATCTGAGAGAGGACAAACCTCATGGTTCAGCTGGTGGACTTTATAACTTTAGAGATCTGATCATGGAGGATAATCCGGTATTTCACCTGAAAAAATTGTTCTTGGGACCTTCTGAAGAAAAATTTACCATCTTTCTTAATACTGATATATGCTTTGCAGGCCCATATATTTTTGCTGAATTGTGATGTTTGCTGCAGTTTTCCTCTCCCTGAAATGCTTGGTAATCGTCATTTGTATGTTCACTATACTTGTACTTTTAACCTCTGGAATCAACTTCGTATGCTGCATTGTTACTTATGCTTTGTCTTGTTCTTCTCTTCAATGTTTTCAGAAGCACATAAAAGATATGGTGGGATCGGAACTCTCCTTGTAATCAAGGTAGATTGAGAAAATGCCGAGAAGTATTTTGGCCACAAAATACTATGTTCCAGTTTTTAGCTTTAACTGCTTGGTTATGCTTCATCCTTTTTTCTAATCTCCATAGGTCTCGGTGGAGTCAGCCAGCCAGTTTGGAGAATTGGTAGCTGATCCAGTGACAAAAGAATTGCTGCATTACACAGAGAAACCTGAGACATTTGTATGTAACTTGTCATTTACATAATGATGAACATAAAAAAACTTTTTGAGGTGCTGTTTCCTGTACTTCTTTAGCTTTTCCTTTGCTTTGCTTATGTCAATGCTACAATGCAGGTTAGTGACTTGATAAACTGTGGTGTCTATGTGTTTACCCCGGAAATATTTACGGCCATCCAAGGAGTTTCTTCTCAACTGAAAGACAGGGGTCAGTTAAAAACAACTCAGTATTATGATATTTATATGTGATTGAGTTGGCAGACTTTAGAAAGTTGTATCCTTTTTTCTGGCCATGCCTTTTTGTGTCTTGAATTCTTGTACGAATGAATTTTTAGTGGTTTAGATGCCAGTAAGTTTATGATTTTGACTTCCACAAGTGTGCTTTGGGGTTTTAGAAACAGGAAGCAAGCAGAGTCCAAATTTAAGAAATCGATTTAGGTAGGAGAAATGACTGCAGTCAATTACCTGGGGAAAAAATTGAAAAAATTGCAATCTGGGAGTTTGAAGAATATGGATACATCTGGGAATGTGGAGCATATTCTGGCCATGGAAATTCAAATTTTGATGTTAAAAAGTTTATCCTGAAATTTGAGCAACTCATCCTTGACTTATGCGTATTGTTAGTCCCTCCAGGAAAATACTAATCCGTACTTCCCTTCTGCAGCTAACCTTCGACGTGTGTCAAGCTTTGAAGCTCTTCAGTCAGCCACAAGGTTTGTTCCTCTGTTTACCCGATGTTTGTTAGTGGAAATGAAGAAATTCAATCTCATGGGACTTGCTGCTGGTTTACTGTAGAGGTTATGATATATTTATGCTTTATGAAAGATAAACTCCATCCCCTTTCTTTGCATCACTTGACGCATTTAGTATAGTTTTGTTGATGTTGTGGTTGGAGTAGAGTTGTGATAATAGAGGTACAATCATAACAACATGAAAATAGAATAAACATAAACTTGTTTAGTTTGTAATTATGAGAAATTGTAAAAGTTGACAATCAGAAACAGATACTTGTTTACTTGCTTCTTTAGACCCTGTATAGTAGCAATATTGAGACTAAAAATACCCATTTAATGAATTAAAAGCGTAAAAGCGTAAAGCGTTTAGGTGAACTAGAAGCGTTTAGGTGAACTAGAATACCCATTTAATGAACTAAAAGCGTAAAGCGTTTAGGTGATTCACCTTTAAAATATACTTTTTGTAATTAATTTCATGAAAAAAATACCCATTTAGTGACCTAAAAGCGTAAAAGCGTAAAGCGTTTAGGTGAACTAGAAGCGTAAAAGCGTAAGCTTTTAAGCTTTAAAGTGCAACTTAGTCCGATTTTATACACTAAATATTTTATGTAGAAACAAAAGCGTTTTGGTGACCTCGAAGCGTAAAACCGTAAGTTTTTAAGTTTAAAAGCGTGATTTTGATTGCATTGCTCGTTTCAACTAAATTTTGTGGTGTTGCCAACTCTTGTTGCTACAACGATAGATGAAAGTAAGCTTGGACATGTTTTCAGTCTTTGTTTTTATCTATGAAAACATAAATTGGAAATCATAACTATAATAATGTTTTTGAATGTTCAGTTGTGTTTGGCTGAAAGCTCGAACATAATGCAATGGAAATCAATCTATCTTCTTTTGTTTCGTTTGTTAGCTTTTTCAAGAAAGTTATCCTGATACCTGCATGTTATTATGCAGGAGTTTCCCTTCAGATTTTGTGAGGTTGGATCAGGACATTCTGTCACCTCTTGCAGGGAAAAAGCAATTATACACATACGAAACCAGAGACTTCTGGGAACAAATTAAAACTCCTGGGTAATTAGCCACAACTATCTGCATATCTTATCAGCGTTCCTACTTTTTTTCTTCTTCTCCATTGGTTCCGGTGTTGACTTCTCGAGATATATGAATGCACAGCATGTCTTTGAAATGCTCTGCTCTGTATCTCGCTCAATTTCGATTCACTTCTCCACATCTGTTGGCTAGTGGTGATGGTTCAAAGAGTGCCACTATTGTTGGTGATGTTTATATTCATCGGTCCGCCAAAATTCACCCAACTGCTAAGGTGACGTTTCTCTCCCTCTAATTCTGATGATGCCTTTCATTAACGATAGGAATGTTGCTGGGACAATTGTCCTCTCCGACTCTTCACTTTCCCTTGCTAACGAAACTGCGATGAAACAGATTGGTCCTAATGTGTCGATATCAGCCAATGCTCGTATAGGGCCAGGTGCAAGGCTAATCAGTTGCATCATCCTCGACGACGTTGAAGTCATGGTAAACTGCCCAAGACTACTTACCGACTTTACGTCCTTACAAGATAGTTCATAGCATTTCAGCACCATGATTGTGTATATAATAACGTTCTTTCATTCCACCAGGAAAACGGGGTTGTTATCAATGCTATTGTTGGGTGGAAGTCTTCCATTGGGAAATGGTCTCGGGTCCAGGCTGAAGGTGCATACAATGCAAAACTGGGTATCACAATTCTCGGTACTTTCTTTCATACCCTGCTCCCTCTTCTCTCTTAGTCTTCTGTATTTTATCACTTAGTAAATTCTACTGCCTCTTTGCAGTTGTCTGTCATCGCTTTGACTTTGCTAATTTCCCTTCTTGTTCGTCATTGTTTCTCCAATATCCAGGTGAAGCTGTAACGGTGGAAGATGAAGTGGTGGTAGTGAACAGCATTGTACTGCCGCACAAGACTTTGAATGTTAGTGTCCAGGAAGAGATCATTTTATAGGGAAGGAGACAGCTGCTCTTGTATTCTTTACTCTACAAAAAAAAAAAAAAAAAAACAAAGCAACTGTTTCCTCTTGTAGTTTTGAACAAAAAACCTCACTCACAACCTAATCTGTAAAATCTGTAATTTTTATGAGTGTTATCTGATGCAATTAAAGTACGAGTGAAGGGGTTGGCTTGGAAGCTTGTGCAATCACCTAACCCGTGCGACAATGACATCTCGAGCAACAACTTGTCCTAGCAGGTAGTTCGAATACTTCTGATTCCTTTGCAACTCCTGTGTGCGGGCATGGGTTTATTCTAATCCTAGTTCCTTCCTCTTAGGTGGTAAACGGTTAGTCGGTAATAAATTTTAATCTATAATCGAACCGATAAAGGTATTAGAACATCCACATCAATGCAATAGCAAAAGCAATTGCATTTATGTTCTTTATTGCCAACTCAATTTTTTTGCAATCCATCTCAAATAACTTTCATTGACCTAAATCAATGCAATTAACTTGCAATTGCATGTGTAATTAAATATTATGTTTAAATTATAAAAAATAAAATAAAAGAGAAAAAATAATATAAAATAAAAAATCTCCATTTTATTAGGCCTTTTTGACTTGCATATGCAATTTCATTTGTTGCAAGCTTGCAAATATGCAATTTGTAGCCACATCAATGCTATTGGTTTTGCAATTGCAAAAACCCATGCCATGTCATCTTGCAATTGAGAATGCAATACCAATGTGGATGCTATTATTGGTTCGGTTTCGGTCTCCACTCTCTAACTCCCCTTTGTAATTCGGCAAAGCGAACCTCACTTCCTACTGATCTTTGTTTCTTTGATGTTTGTGAATGATGATGATCTTGTGGTGCTTGTCTTTGATGTCTTGATAGTTGATATTAAGTTTCATTATTTTTTAATTTATGCATTGAAATTTTGATTGTAATTATGGTATCACGCTGAATGTTGCATTGTATTGGTATTATTTCTTATAATTTCTTATTTTATATTAACAATATAAACTTTAGTGAAAATATTTTGAATTATTTGTATGATGTTCTTCTTTAATATTTAGTATTTTATACTCGTGATCATTGTTATGCTTGTGGATTCAAATTTATGTTAAATGTCACTTGTTAAACTTATATAAGTGGCTACTGCTTCGGTTTATAATATTAGTTGATATCTGGTTCGATTAGGTATAACCGTACTTGTTAGAATGTAATTTAGTGGCTATTGGTTAACCACCAAAATAACCGCAAACCAAACCGATAAAAGACAGTTAACTTATAAGCCTTATCGGTTCAGCTATTAGTATGAATTTTTTGTTTATTGGTTAACCGCGAACCGCCATATCGATTAGTGGTTAACCGAAACCGAACCGATCCGATTATCACCTCTACATCCTCCATACGTAAATAGAGCCATGCACATGAAATACTCATATATTAAAGGCTTGCCTTACTTGAAAGGAGTTCTATTATTGCTTGTTATGATTTCTTATCTTGAAAATGTGTATCATATCTTATAATGTGACCCCGCCCTCCACTTACATAGCGCAGCCATCTGGTAAAATTTATCATACATATCCTAACATGACTACCCTCACAGTGGGGAGCATGAACCGATAACATGCACCTATCAAAGGCGAATCGTTCGCACAATGGGGATCCTGCGCCTATCTAAAGATAAACACTAACACAATGGTGATCTTCCCTTCTAGTGAAGCCGCCTTTGCAGTTGGAAAAGGCAGGTCTGGTCGGCCGCAATTCCAAAGCTCGGGCACCAACAACCTTACTTACCACTTCTACCATGAGGTAGGCCACATTCAACCATACTGTAAGAAGAATCAATGCATTTACTGTAAACGAACGGGACATATCATCTTGGAGTGTCGGACGGTGGCAAAATGGGAGGGTTGCGTGAGCATCCTTATAGCGGCACTGCTGGGTCGAGCTCAAACCACTCGAGCTATGTCGTGGTCGAGCAAGCTCTTCCATCGTCTTCTGCTGACCATCTGTCTTCTGATTCCATTCACCGTCTCGTCCAGGAGGCCCTTCAGGAAGCCTTGCCTACAACATTGAATTCTTCCTTTGCTACAGGTGGTGCCGCATGTAACTTTCTGTGTTGGTTTATCAACTATGCCGCCTTTAACCACATGTCTAGTGCTCGTCATTGCTTTACCAAGCTTCGTCAAGTTCTTCCTATGACATTACAGGTTGCAAATGGGGCAAACATCCCTGTGAAAGGGTCTGGTGTTATTACTCGTGGTCGTGTTCAGCTTCACGATACCCTATATGTTCCTGATCCTGTCCTGAACTTAGTATCCGTTGGTCAGTTAGCAAAGGAGAATCGTAACGTCATGTTTAATTCTAATGGCTGTTCTATGCAGAACCGGACAACCGGGAAGGTGATAGGGAAAGGTCATAAGCGGGGACGTGTCCTTGTTCTGGATAATTACCAAGGTGCTGGAGGTATGGACAGGTCAAAGTCAGGCGTGGCAGGCTTGAAATTGGTTGGGAGCTCGGCTGAAGTGTCCTCTGCACTTGTTACTTCTTCTTAGTTGTGTAATCAGGATAGTTCAGCTTTGGTTAATAAGGTCGGCTGTGTGACCAATAGTCCATCAGATTCTTTCTTGAGATATTCAGTTAAACCTAGGTCAGTGGATTTTTCCGTTCATTCGTCAGTATGAGGTTTGTGGCATAGACGATTGGGTCATCCTCATTTTGTGAGGTTATTGAACATATTTCATACTAAGTTATTGCTATCCGGTCACATCTCGTCTTGGCATTCTCTATTTTTCCCTCTTCATAGACCATGCTACCGGGTATACAAGGGTTTATTTTCTGCGTAAGAAGTCGGAATTGATACACCATGCCGAAGCCTTTGTTACGATGATACAGACTTAGTTCCGGAAGACGGTGAAGGTTATTCGCTCCGACCCTAGTGGAGAATTCTCTTCCAAACCTTTGGCCAACTTCTACACTTCCCATGGAATTTGGATACAGCAGTCATGTCCAGGTGTTACACAACAAAATGGTTTATTCGAGCGCAAGCACCATTATGTGATTGATCTCACCCGTGTGATCTTGTTTCACTCACAAGTTACTAGTGGTTTTTGGGTTGAAGCTATTCGTACTGTGATCTACCTGATCAATCGCTATGTGTATTTAATTGTTGGTAACAGTTCCCCGTTTCAGCTACTCTATCCTCGTACTCCAGACTACTCCTTTCTCAGGTGTTTGGATGTGTTTGTTTTGTGCTTTTGCCCAAACAAGATCGTCATAAGCTCGCTCCAAAGACTGCCTGGTTTTTGTTCATTAGATATTGCGATATCCACAAGTGTTACTTTTCCTACGACCTCGTACACCGTCGTATGCGGATAGCCTATCACTTTGTCTTTATTGAACATGTTATACATTATCCATTCTCTTCCATGACGTGGCTGTTCCACCTGTCGTTCCCCTAACGGGAAGGGGGGGGGGGGGCGGAGGGAAGTGAAGCAATTTTGGTTGAAATGTCATCACCTCATACTCCCTCTATTGACACTACTTCTATCTCAAAGTCAAGTTTGGCTGTGGGCTCTACTTCAAGTTTGGCGACTAGTTCATCGACTGCTAGTTCATCTTCTTCTTCAAGTTCAACGAACGGTTCTTCTTCTTCTTCTTCTTCTTCTTCTTCTTCTTCTTCTTCTTCTTCTTCTTCTTCTTCTTCTTCTTCTTCTTCTTCTTCAATTTTGGACAGTAATGATTCCGCCAAAATTGAAATGAATCAGCCTTCACCTGTCATACCACCTTTACCATGAAGATCTGACGGTGCAAATAAGGGAGCGCCGCCGGTGAGGATGTTGGCTATTCTGTTGAAGGTATTTCCATTCCATCTAACTACCGATTTACTAAGGGAAATCCAGTCAGGGACGCAACCATGATGATGGAGACAAACACATTAGAAACCATACTTGGGGCCTATTTTTCAGGATACCCGAAATGTTAGTTATAGGTTCCAAATGGGTATATGCCATAAAGATGAATCTTGAAGGCCCACTTAAGAGTTTCAAAGCACATGTAGTTGCTCAAGATTTTCGATAGGAGTTTGGAATCGACTATGATGAGACCTTTGCTCCAGTGTTAAAGATGACGACTGTTCATAGTATTTTTGCGGTAGCTGTAATGAAGAAATAGTCATTGGTACAATTAGATGTAAAAATCGCATTCCTTCATGGAGATTTGAAAGAAACAATATACATGGAGCCACTAACAGGATATGATAAGAAGGGGACGAATATGGTGTGCAAGCAAGTGTGTTCTCTATATGGCTTAAAACAAGCTTCCATAGTACAATTCTGCAAGCAAAATTTCAGCAGAGTAATTGTGACCACTCACTCTCTATTTGGCACACTATAGATGGGATTGTTGTCCTACTACTTTATGTGGATGATATGATCGCGAAGGCATTAAGGAACTAACAAGCTCTCTTCATCGGGCATTCAATCGTAAGGAACTAGGGGAAGTTTCATATTTCTTGGGGCTGGAAGTTTAGAGATCATTACGCAGACTGTTTGTATGTCAGAAGAATTATATCTCAGACTTGCTTACTGCAACACAGTTCAAGGATTGTAAGTTGTGCTCCACTCCCATGGAGCAAAATCTGAAGCTAAGTAAAGATAGTGGGGATCTCTTAGAGGATCAATCATTTTATCGAAATGTGGTAGGGAGCCTTAGATACCTTACCCACACAGGGCCAGATATATCTTACGTTGTACAAGTCGTTAGTCAGTTCCTAGGAGTAGCAATGACTACACATTTGAATGATGTTAATTGACTTCTCTGCTATCTGCAGAACACACGAGACATTGGGCTATTCTTCCCTGTTGGGGGAAAGCTGAAGATCGAAGCATTCGCAGATGCAGACTATGTTCCATATGTTCCACCTCTGATTGATGTGTTAGATTCAGAGAAGCGTTTGTTTCATGGAGGTGCAAAAAACAGGATAAAGTCTCAAAGTCATCAACAGAAGAAGAATACCAATCTATGTCTGAATTTAGTTCAGAGGTTGTTTGGTTGCAGCGTCTATTCAAAGAACTAGGGTTTGAATGCAGTGGGCCGATGGTGATTAATGGAGACCACACGAGTGCTGTCTATATAGCAGTCAACCCTGTCCTACATGATCTCATTAAGCACATTGAGGTGCACGTTCACTACATATAACACCTGAAGTAGAGTGCATCATTCAACTTCAGTGCCTTA